TTGAGGTATGCCCAGAAAAAACGTTTATAGCCCCGGCCTGTATTAGAGACCGGCCATTATTTACCTCCTCTGACAGCGAGACCGGCCATTGTTAGAGACCCGGCCGCTATTGGAATACAGGCCAATATTAGAGAATTTACGGTATGTATGTATATGTTTTATAAATGGAAAAGACTTACACCAACACCATTGCAACACTGTACTATTAATCACATGAGCAACCTTTTTTTTTTAAATTAAAACCCAAACTTTGCAATTTTTTGATGGTATCAGTCCTTGGCAGTTTCTGATAGGGGCGAATGGAGGCTTCATAGTGAGGGCTACATGAGATTGAAGAATAAAACTCAACTCAGTGTTTCTTATTAAACAAATAAACACTTATTTGTTTTTTTGCACTGCTCTTAACATTCCACATCAATGCCTTTTGCAGCATATCTCTCCTATACTGTTTTACATTTTGATCACTGCTGCACCTTATAAATGGAAATGTTCATTTTCACTGCTAAGCTGCTCCTCATTCACTGCTGGAAAGCTGTATGTACCAAAATTTCATTTTGTATACACTCTGTGCATACAAAATGACAATTAAGTTTAAGTCTAAGTCTATGATTTTCATTTATCACAAACTTTATAATTTCCATATTTGATTCTGACTTGCATTGTTTTTCCATTTTCAGATTTTAGATTAGTTCTTGTTGGAAAGACTGGATCTGGGAAAAGCTCCAGTGGAAACACCATCCTGGGGAGAGATGCATTCAGTGCAGCAGTTAGTCAGTCCTCAGGTAACCAAAATATGAAGGGGTCTGTGTGAACAGTACTTGTGATAAATCTGTTTTTTAGGTTTCTGTGTGTTTGACTCAGGCTCAAAAGACAGCAGGAAGGTTGGTTTCTGATTCGTTGGTCTGGTCACCCTATCACTAACTGCACCCTCAGTTCAGTCCCAGTCCACTTCAATTCAGTCCCTCAGTTGGATCAATCGTTTGCTAGATCCCGCTAACTCTGCAGAGCTTGAATATCCATTATCCAACTTCAAACCAGCCTCACCTCGGTCGTTAGCAACTGAGTTAAGAAGATGGGCCGCTTCCTACAGATTCTGAAAAACGACATTGTTGACATCTGTGTCCATGTGTGCCGCTAACTGAAACACACAGTCTGTCAGAGCGTCCAAACTACGGTGACCAGGTGTCGTCTTTTTCACGGACATGTCCTACTTTCCATACCTAAAAATAATGTCAGGGGGGAATTTCAAAATCGTCCAGGATTTTGGTCGACTACAGTGCAGCAGAACCAAGCCATGAGCTCCGGGAACTGGTTGGGGAACTCACGCGGAAGGGGGGAGAACCCAGAATCTTCTTGCTGGAAGGCAGCAGTGCTGTCCACTGCCCCACTTTGTGGTCCTAGAACCTCATCCACTATACCTTTTACTATATTTAAAAACATGGATATTTATATTAGGATAATACAATGGATATACTATGGTTACTCCAGTTTCTCATCTAAAAAGAATGTATGTATATAGTCCTATGCTTTTGTAGGATTTGATAAAATGATGTCTGTATTACAACAGAGAAAGACAGATTGAAGAGAATAGGTGAAAAACACTTTTATTATGAAAGACAAAATAAGGAAAACCTTTCAGGAAATAACAGATTTTTGTAAGGGTTTATTTCTAAATTATGGTCGAAATAAGTACAAAAAAGCAACATGCCTGATCTGTAACCTCACAAATGTGTATGTTTGTATATGTATGTATGATTTCTCTAACAGTTTGAAACGACTACATCCCTGACAATGCTTCTTTGGTGCTTCTGCACAGTAAATTTTGCAGTGTTAAAGTGACACTTTCAGAGTTATCTTTAATACCTATCTGAGTGCATTTGGTCCCACTAAATTAGTGTTAAATGAACTTTATATTGTGTATATCTTATTCCAGTTGTTGTTACACAAACTCTAAAAGAGTCAAAGTGCTTTGACACTGCATATTTAACTCTGTGGAATTTACTGTGTGCTCAGTCTTGTGCCACACTGACACTGTAAATCTGTTTTTTTTTTACAGTAACGAGGCAGTGCTGTAAGGCCAGTGGAGAGCTGTTTGACAGAAATGTGACCATCGTGGACACTCCTGGCCTCTTTGACACTTCATTGCCAAAACACACCATCAAAAGAGAGATCTCCAAATGCATCAACATGTCGGCCCCCGGGCCTCATGCCATCCTCCTGGTCATAAAGGTGGGGCCGTTCACCAATGAGGAGCAAGATGCTGTAAAGCAGGTGGAAGAGATCTTTGGGGAAGATGCTTGGAAATACACCATGATACTGTTTACACAAGAGGATGAAACCAAAGTAGATATGGAGACACAGCTGCAGGAAGCTGGACCAGAGCTTGAGAAGATTCTTAGAAAAGTCAACAACAGACATTCAGTGTTGAACAACCGTAGAGCTGATGATCGGAGTCAAGTTCTGGAGCTGCTGGAGAAGGTGGATAAGATGGTGGCTGAGAATGAAGGGAAGCATTACTCCAACTACACCTTCCTGCAGGTGGTGGAGATGCTGGAAAAGAGAGAATTAGAGCTTAAAGTGTTTTATGAGAAGGAACTGAAGGAAAAGGTCAAAGCTGTTGAGCAGAGGTACGAGCAGATGCTGAAATCTGCTCAGCTTGACCAAGCTGACTTAAAGAGGAGACTTCAGTCGGAAATACAGGAAGTTAACAGATTCTTTGAGGTTTTAATACGACACAGACGTCAGGTTGTAGAACAGAGCGCACAGGAGGATTCAATGGAAGAGATTTATAAGTTTCATAAGACCTTAAAGCTGTAGTTTAGTTATTAAAGACTCAAATCCTCTTAGATTGATGATGAACAAAGTTGTTAGCCACTCATTTACATTAGCCGTGATTTTGTTTGTTGGTAACTATATTTAATTAAAACCAACTATAGCATGCTAGAGTTTACTTGAACCATATTTTAAATCCTTTTTAAATGCAAATAACCCTTGTACAGACTCATATCAAGACTACATAAATTAATTAATACTACAGCTAATTATCAAGTATTCAGCTCCAATATGGTTCTTTATAAAGCTTCTTTTACATGAAAATATGCAGAATTCAAAGTAAACAGAAGTGTGGCTTCTTACTGCGTGTTAAACGTCTTGCATGGAAGGAGAAGATTGATTTAAAAGATAAAAACTAAACTGGAAACATTCTAATAATAATCGTTGTTTCGATGTTTATTTACAGCAGTTAATATTTAAAGAACAGAAAAAAAAACTGTCCATTAGCAATGGGGATAGACCAAACAATAGGAAAAATATAATAAAGGTTGCACAACTAAAATATTGTATGATCTACTGCATAGACCCTAAAGGTCTGTTTGTATGAACTTCTAATAAAGACATTCAAAAGTTCACATATAAAACTTTGTGGCACTAAATGCTCTCAAGGAACTGCTGTATGAGAGCCAAAAAACAAGCAACAAACTCATCTGTTCTCTTTATAGTTTAAACATTTTGATGGTAACTCCTCATTCTTTATGAAACGATACCAAAATACTGATTAATAAAAGATATCTATAGTATTACATAATAAAAAAAGCACTTTTATAGCAATACTTTTGTCTGAATAGTTTATGAATTAAATTGCCGTCTCTGTTGGCTGATATTACAGTATATTAAATGACTATTTACTTCACATAAACAATCAATAAAACCACACTAATAATAATAATCCATACCAGATAGTTTCAGTTGATATGTTTGGTTTGAAGGTCTGATGCTTTTATCGATCTGTGTTTTTATGGGTCTGCGTTGTTTTTATTTTTTTCTTAGTCATATGCAGCCCATTGAAGAAAATACTTGCTGACAGCTCAACATATTGTATAATATCCCCTGTACTCATCCCCACTGATGTGTATTTTTGCAAGCGTTTTATTCTCAGAAAGTGGTGGAGTATTGAGAGCAGAGTGTCAATACCCCTTTTTGGGATTAATAAAGAATGTTTTGAATTGAATGGAATAGCAGTGCACACAGGGCTGAGGAGGCCCTGCCACAATATAGCTTGCTTCTTACTTAAGGAAAAATGTTGATCTTATGTTAAGAAAAGATGGACATAAAAGCAATGATTGAATTAAGGACTGGATAAGAGAAACATTAGTTTTTAGCCCTTTTTTCTTTACCTGAATTTATGATTCTACTGCAATGTACTCTTTTTTTTAGTTTTCTTTTTTCTATTAATTTACACCATTTTAAATTGTTTTCTAACTGAATTGTGCTATACAAATAAACTGGTTGTGCATAGTCTCATTGATTTTTCAGCAATTTTTTTTTTTGTCTGCCTTTTAATTGCTTACTTTAATCATATACATTTTGGATAGTAGTTTTAGTTAAATTACACAAACCTAGTTAAGGAGTTCAATTATTTCCCTTATATTTTTTTTAAATAATTTGAAGACAATTTGAATTTATTCCATACGTGCAGGATGTATTGCTTGAGAATGCCGGTAATTGAATTACTCTTTTATCTATTCTCCTAATATCATCACCAAATTGGACAAGTTTTTATAGAGTAATAATTGACAGAAAAAATATGAAATTTTATGAAATATTAAATCACATAATTTCATACAATTATATGACATCTTATCTTCATCTCTGTATCTTTTGTTGTTGATTTTGATGTTTAGAGTTAATTAGAATGAGTCTTAAAATCATTTGAAATGAACATCACCACCACGTTTTAAGATTTATTGATAAATGCAATAAAAAAAGGGGCAACTATTCAATGCAGAATGAATTTGAAACGAGAGCAGTCATTTCTAGCTGCTGCACTGAGGTGTCTGGACTGAGAGTGAATGTCGCTGCTCACACATGCAGACAAAGTTGGCAACTCTGACATGTAGAAAGTCTGAAAACCTGAACTTCCTGTATTTTGCCTTGACATTTATAACCTTTCTTCTTGTATTTTAAGGCCCACCATGGTAACAGGCGTTGCTATGCAGCTGCAGCCTCCTGCTGCGTAGAAAGGGGTGAAGAATGCAACGAAAGCAGTCTGAGGCCTTTACCAAGGCCTCCGTTCCATAGTCATCACTCTGTTGACCAACCAGAGGTGGCGGACTGGACGTTTGCCAGGTTCGGCGGTCCTGTGTCGTAGCCCATCTTCTTCATGTCTTTGGTCATTATGTGAAAGGAGACAGTGACGAAGCCTTGAGATCGAACCCTCGTTACTGAAACAGAAAAAATCATTTTAGCAGCAAGAAAACCTAGTAGGTGACATCATCAGGTTGTTATGGAAAAAAGTATTGACTGACATTCTCGGCCTTCCCCCTGTGCCACCACTTTAGGGTCGGTGTATTCGGGCCGTCGTCCTAGCAACCAGCTAAGCAGGAGAAAAAATGTTTAAACTAGGTGAAAGAAAACTCTGCCTACTGTTCAACAAAAACTTTTTTTAAACTGTGCTAAACTGTGGATTTTATCTATTTTTTGTCCAGCTGATGAGATTCAAGCTGCTGAGAGAAGAGTCCGACTCACCCTGTGAACTTCTGCAGTCTCCACGTGGGCTCAGGAACAAACATTGGGATGGTTCTTGTATATCTGAGAAAGGGAAACAGATTATTTAATGTTCTAAACTTAAATACAAAATTTACACCTCAAGTTTCTGAAGCGGCATCAGCACCATTCACACACTTAGATGAAAGCTGTACTCACTGTCCAGGTGTGAAGGGGATGTGAGTGGCTCCGTAACCCCTGACCACATCGTTACCAAAAACATCGGGTCCGTAGACGCTCACCACAAGCTGAGGCCCTGGAAAATGGACAGAAAGTTGCTCCTCAGTAGTTCCTGGTATGTTTGCATCACTAAGTCTTTAATGACCCCTTGGTTCAATTTATAAATAGGCTGAAGGCTGTTTGATCATCTCAAAAACAGCTTTCATTTGCCACCAACTGCAGGTTTCAAAATTGCTATAAATAACCTGAAATTATTGGTTTAAAAAAATGACATATGAAATGTCTGGGGCTTAATAAGTTTTGATTTATATCAAAAGGATCAGCAGTTCACAAACCAAATATTGTATTTTTAATTACAAATAAACCTTATATAGCTGACAACTGAGCTTCATCACTACTGTATGAAATGGAAAATTGATCGGTAGATTTGTGCCTTTGGTACCTTTTTATCTATAAAACTATCCTCGGATTGTTCCAGCCTGATTTATTTTCCCAAATGTCACTGAGACAAAGTTCTTCAGATGTTCTCTGGAATCTGAACTAATAAATAAAAAACATTTCCTTGTCAACCTGGAAAATACAGCAGATGCTCAAACAATCCTCACAAATGACATTTAAATCTTGATCTTGTGGTTTTAAGTCCATCTAGTTCTGTCTTTAACAGCTGTAGAATATATGAGGTCTGTATGCAGCAGAGCATGGTATGGAGCCTGATAGAGTGCTGTTATGTTCTGCCATAAAAAAGATGATCAACATCTTTAAATTCCAGAATATAAATAATATATGTGGTGTCAGTAAAAATGTGAAATCCCTTGGTCATTTTATTACCGAAGACCTGAAAGATGACGATGAAATCAGCACAGAGTTGAATTTAGTACGCTCAGGTCAACGATCTCTCCCATAAAATCTTTTTTTTTTTTGTTTTTTTTTTTTGCTCAGATTCTTTTTAAAGCATACTGTATACCACTATAAACACGCTAGCCTGTAAAGGAACATGTAAAACTGTTTAAGCTCTACAGCTGTGGAGACTTTGGAACAGATCTCTTATTGGACTTTGGGTGGTTATTTTTTGATGACTGCATGTGTGAATTTGTACTATTTGTTGCTTTTTGTTGTTCAGTAAATGTTGAATATATATATATATATTTTTATCTAGACCTTATGTCTGAAATAAAGCCTTTCGATGAGACAATCCTGAGGGCTTCATGGCCAAAAATAGTTCAGAAGCAGTACTACCAGTCCCTGGAGCAGGAAGGATCATCAGCTTTGACATATAAAGTAAGTGAAAATAAAATTAACCTTTTAAAGGGCAAATTAGCATTTTTGATCACTTGCATACTCCTTAAAAATGGAGTCCCCCCTATCCCTCAGTGTGGTCTAGAAGCACAAGATCTATATCCAGCCATTCAGCAAAGGTCCTACTGCGTGGCTGCACATCTTATTTTGGCATTTGACCAATTAGATGAGCCATTAAATGATATATTACCTACTGTAAATTGAGTTGGAAAAAAAAGTTAACAAGTCAAGAAAAAAAAGGTAAAAAGCTATTTGAAAAAGTTAAAAAGTAAAATAAAAAAGTTAATAAGCCTAGTAAACAATTATATTTAAGTTAATAAACAAAAAAATGTAAGTGCAAATATCAGCATTAATGCCTCTAAGGTTATGTTGTACCAAATAAAATGTGTTTCTTTCACTCTGTGTTTTTCATGAATTTCTTATAGAAGCACATTTGTTATTTTTCTTAATATATTCGGGCAAGTTGGTGTTTCTTATTACATTGACATTAGTTTTGCCATCAAAATATCCATTTTTTTTATGTTCCAAAGGTAATAAGGTCTTGTTCTATTCCAATAACACTATTAGCTTGAAATTTAGATTTCCAAAGGATTTCACTGAGTGCCCAATAAAGGGTTAAAGCAAGAAATGAGAGCTTTTAAGCGTTAAATGCTTACATCCAGAGGGATTTGTACTCTTGAATGTTGTTTCCAAAGGAAAGTTCCATATTAACCTGTGAGACTGGCTGCTTTTGGAGCTTATTTGTGTGATGCCTTCCTCCAAACCCTTAAAAAGGAAATACAAACAGTCTAGTTAGTGTTGAACATCTACAACATAGCAGTTTAACTGCTAACGTTTAAAACGAGCAACAATTAGAAGATGCTTAAAGCAACACATCCATGATAACTCACTGTGGTGGGAGCCCAGTCATGGCCGTACACGTAACAATATTTGCAGTACAATTGGTCATAGTCTGGAAACTGTTAGGGATAAAAACAACAAAACGTTACTAAAGGAGGTGAAAAAAGCTCAAGAGAAAGACTCAAACTGTAAAGTGCTGCTAATGCTAATGCTAGCTACTTAACCATAAATAACCACCCACGTTCGCTCCCTCAATCTGTCCGTTTACAGATAAAAGAAACACAGACGGGTTGGTTGTTGCCTCCATCATCAATCCGTTTAGCAAAATATTGAAGTTTAATGATGTAAGCCGCCGCTAACCGTTAATTCGATATCGTTGCTAAGGCAACGTTTGTGCTTCCCTACGGCTCCTGTGAGGATCAAAAAGAACAAGGGAGCAAAAAATAATGTAATGTAATGAACAACTTTTCCAATAGAGGGCGGCAGTGTTCCAAAAACCGATTAGGTGAAAACTAGAGCAGCTGCAGCAGAGCCGAGGCTCAAAGGCTGTTTACTGCGTAAAATCACTAAGAAAAACCAAAAACAAAGATTGTGCAATGCGGCAACCAAACCGTGAAAACATCACCATTATTAAGGAAAAACACAAATTTGTTGAAAGCTACAGTTATAGAATAAATCAAACGGTCTTCACATTGTTGTGGTGCTTGATATTTAAACATTTTTCCAGATTAATCAGTCTTTTTGTTGCCTACTTTTATTTATTTTATGACAGGAGGTGCCTTATGAGGGAAGCTCGGCTTTTTGCGAGTATTTTTGCTATTTAGGCTCAAAAAGTTAAGCTTGCTGAATAATTTATGACCTTTTTTGCGCAGTACATGAAGGAGAATGCACATTCTTCCAAATCTTTGAAGAGGATTTTTTTGTTAAACAGTGGATTTTTCCATTTAGTTAATATGTCATTTTTTTGGTTACTTTCTCTTGATGGTAAGTTGCATCCCTTAAATACAGGGATGAAAGTGTATTAATAAATCAAGTCAAGATCAGAAGACACAGCATGAAATATATAGAAGTCATTCAAAGCACTAAAAGGACAATTGCATTAGTGGGAGCAGAATGGAAGACTCTGATGAACAGAGCCAATAAAAAGCTCATGTTTCACATATAATCCTTCCTGAGCTTCATACTTCAATATGATAAGTGGTGGTACACATTTAAATTGCATCAAACCCAAGAACATTAAAAAGAAAAACAAACAAGAAGCCTATCCTACACCCATAAAGCTCACAGACAGATTTTCATGGTTTATCAGCGTGCAAATCTAAATACTAAATAACAGAGATGTTGGTTGAGAGCTTTAAATGATGCAATCATTGTCAAAAACTCTAAAAAGAAGGTTTTCAGTGCTTTTTTGGATACATTTTAATAATAAATATTTCACATTGGAGAAATGTTACCTCTGCATTTAACCCATCTCCTTGGGGATAAGTGGGCAGTGTGGGGTTAAGGGTTTTGCTCAGGAACCCAGTGTGCAGGTTGTGGGGTTCAAACCGGGTACTTGCAACTTTTTAAAAACACAAGTGTGCTGCTGTCACCCACTAGGCCAACTCCCTGCTAAATCTAAATAAAAAAAACAACCTGGAAAGCAAACTTGATATGATTAAAAACTTTCACTTCAGGTTTAAGCTGCTCTGATTTAAATAGTGGCAACAGATCTGACTCTCCCAGTTCTACATGCACCAGTTGTTACTTGATTACAAAACTTTATGGTCCTTTCTAACATTGCCACTCTTCTGCAGCAGATCCTCTGGTGCTGCTCTGCATTTATATAGAGACCTTTTTAATTTGTGATTCCACATATGATGAATGGCCTGTCACTTGTAAGAGCAAAGAGGTCCACTCCTACCTATGGGACTCATTCATTTAGAGGAAACCTCTTCGCCTATTATCTTTAACTTCTTTAATGTATATTACCTACATACGCTTTGCCATTCTTTACCATTACATGGCTGTCATTATTTAATGGCAATAAAGTTTAATTCTATTAAATTCTATTCTATTCTATGCCATTGTCAATTAATTTAATGGTGAATGCATGGATGAGTTTTATAAAGATGCTTCTGGAATATTAGTCCTTTAATCCCGGAAACGATCCTAAGGTAATACAAGGTATTTTGTAATGATCCCAATATTCCTCTAAAGGTTCATAATTAATGCTACACCCAGATTTTGGGTCTGATCACTGGTTTCTAGCTATTGTAACTGAAGATGTGTACAATTTTTTAATCACACCCCATTTGGTTAAATAAATAAAAAAATATATTATTTCCATTTTTCATTAATCTGAATAAATTCTAGGACATTCTACATTGATTTTTTTCTTCTATGCACTTGGGTTCAAATAAACTCGTCGACATATAATGTAGAACTGTGTGTCGTCAGCATAGTTAGATCCAGAGTCAGAAAGCTCTAATTTGTTGTTGTACAACAAAGAACGATATTTATTCCTTTGCAATCCATCCAAGAGACACAATTTAACGGCATACATGGGGGGAGGGATGCCTGAGTTAGGAGATAATAAATTGGAAACACAGGGGGTAGATGAGGATAAAAAAACTAATATCTTACACTATGCCCTTGACAAGCCACTATGTGAGGTTGCAAACAAACCCCTGCATAGAGCTCATGGAAGCCAGCGGAGGCAGTAAGTTGAAAGCGCATGGGAGACATTGTGGATGAGTGTTCGCAAATGAGGATGCGTTAATTAGCCAGACCCAGAGCCCCTTCAAGCCATAGTTCCTGATTAAGATGTAGAGTCCAGCAGGTGGACTTTGGTTACTCCTGGACACCAGGATACAGATATAGGAAGTGAGAAGGTGAGTTGGAGCAGAGTATCTGTTAACCTAATATCCAGGAAAATGTGAGATTGCCATCCTTAAAGGCCGGCATTTAGGAGCCAGATTCAAATTTTCATATTTTTTTTACAGCTTTCTCCATGATTTATCCCATTTTACCAATGAGATCTGGAACCACAACTAGTCTACGACCCACAAAAGGATCTTCTCCTGTTTACGATTCTGATTCAAGAGTGTCTGAATCTGAACTTGACGTATTCCATCAATCATGCCGGGCAGCCTCACAATCATCCAGCTACACTCCGTCAAGTCCAATAAGCAGAAATCCTGCTATAATCGATCCAATTATGTAAACATCGTCAACGTCCTCAACTGACAGTAAAGACGAGCACATTATCTTCCACTTCCCCCAGAAATCCATAACATACATGTGTCCCATCCGTGCAGGAGGTTTACCCAGTTTCCTCATGGAGAAATTTTGATCAATAGTGTTGAGAGACCAGCTGGCCAGAATAATAATTTTCAATTTTCAGACGGTAAACGAAGAGAGACTCCAAAAAAGCAGCAAAGTAGGATAGATAAAAGAGGTTTAGATGGGGATAAAAAGTGTCCACATTCACCCAAGCAGGAAGAAGAAAATATTTTTATATGAAACCATCTTGTTTGTTATATTCTAGATCCTGAATAGAAGGGCCTCAAGATTAAACCCAAAGAAGATTGTTTTGATCTCTGACATAAAGGCATCTATTAAGCATACTGATCAGAGCCAATGAACTTTACAATTTACCCAAATATGGGCCTGTAAGATGCATAAAGCTGCATGATTATTGCTAAGATTCTGGTTGTTTTTTTTTTAGCTGTAGCTAAATCAGCTGCTTTACACATAGTAGTAACCCCCACCCATCCACTGTCTTTGTTGTTGCCCCCCACATCCCTTTCATTCCTGCCTGTCTGATAGGACTCTGTGTATCCAGCTGACTCACAGTCTCTCCCTAAGCCTCTGACCTTTGCTGATCCCCAAACAGCAGCTCTCTTTTCATCCACCTTCGGTTAACTTCATTTTCATCCACACTTTACCAGTTTTGCACCTCTAGCCACTGTCAGGCTGTAATCCTTCTTTCCCACTTGTCACTTTACTAAAGATTTATATAAAAAAAAAAGAGTGTCTCCTCTCGTTTACAGTTTACCCCCCTCATTCTCCTCCTTTAACTCCAGTACATTTTTGGAATGTTCTTCAATGTTTCTTCCTATTTTTATCTCCCATCCTAAGATCTTTGATGGCTCATTCCCCCATTGCTGGTTTCTTTATCTCCCCTGTTTAGCTTTTTTTGTGATTCCTCTCATCTTTTCTCCTCTTCCCATTTGTCATATCGCTCATCTTTCTACCCCCCTTTCTTTCCCTTATTCCATCTCTGCAGCCCTAGTCTTTTCTGCCAACTGCCTGATTTGGATTTAGACAGTTTCATGGATGGAGGCCCACTAAAAGATGTAGTAGTGTGGCTACTCCAAAGGGGTCACATTGGACTATGTGGGATTTGATTTCTTCTGACTATTTCAAAGTCAAAGGTTTCATGGTGTGCTATTTAAGCCAAAGGCAGGAATTAGAGGGATAAATATTAAAGCGCATAAAACACACCAGTATTAAGTGGTATCAACTGGTGTGTTTTATTTAACGTTATGTGATTGAAAGTGACATTTTATTCTCTGCTTTCAGTGATTCTATGGAGAAAATGTCCAGAGAAAAGGCTTGTGCATTTTAATATACAGTAAGAGAACTGAAATCTCTTTACTTCCCCAGTTAGGTAGAAGGAGGTGGGCAAGAGAGAGGAAATGCTTGAAGAGCTAAAGCAGAAAAATAAGCATATAATGGATAATAAAATCAAGTATAGTGTTGCAGTAAATAACGAATTAATATTTACAAGTTACAGTTACGGTAAGAGGTTTACATAAACCCACCACAGTAATAAATGTAATCAAATCTTGGATTTTAGCAGTAAATAATAATAAAAAAATTTATACACCAAAAAATTTGACTGATTCATAAATGCAAGAGTTAATGTGTTTGCAAATTTTAATTTAGAGTGATTTTTATGTATAAAAAAAATATATTTTATGTATAAATGCAAGTCTTAAAACTTTATAGTTGTTTACTTTTAATGCGATGAAGAAAGCACAGCAACAAAAACTGGTTAATTTACTAGAATGAAATGAGTATTTGATCCCCTATCAAAGGCTTCATTGACACACGGAGCCCTCAGCCATTTCCTCTAATTGGTTTACAGATTTCCACACATCTCACGAGGGAGTTTAGACTACTTCTCTTTTATTTCCTTACTTACTGCTTAGCATTTCAAACATTTACCTTCTTCTGCGGCTATTCTGTAGGACTGAGGTCTGCAAACGGAGCGGGCTGTTTAAAGGTACACTATGCAACCGGTGTTGATTTTCCAGCGAGGCTCCCTCCAGAGGGCGAAAGTAAAAGTGCACTGTCGTATATATGCACAGCTGTTCTCCTGGTTTCTCCGTCAAGCCAGCCGTGGTTGTTTTGAGCTT